TCAAGAACATTTTAAGCGGAGAAGGTAACCGTATTTACTGAAGCATCCTGTGGCGATCTACCGTAATCGCAGACAAGCAAGTTAGGTGAATCATAATACTGAATACTGAAAATGGAAAGCGAGTAGACAAAAATCTGTGTTACTCCATCATATGTGGATCGGGCACATGCGCGGAATCAAGTCGCTGATTCCTGCGCGTTGGCATCATATTGCAGCTGCACTACATCTTATCCGGGTGCGATACGCTTGTTATTCCTTTAGTCCACGAAGTGGGTGTCAAGGAATCTCTTAAATTCTGACACCGAGGCTTGGCGGAGCAAAGCCCTGTTCTATGGTTAACTCACGAATTTGACGACATGAATTCATGATTGGATTTGCTGGTTGTGTTTCTTTGTTTTATTTTACGGCCTTTTTATAGAATTTTGCTTTGCGGTCCTATACTGGCGAGACACTGGTACCAAACATGGCATCTCGAATTGATTACTTTTGTTTTTCCGTTACAACACGTTCTGATGTTGTCTGGTATTGTTCATTGCAGATTTAGTAGGTGATTTGCTCTTTTGGGGAGGCTATTTGGTGTTTTATCGAGGTCTACACCGCTGTCAATTCGATGACTTATCGGGTTGGTATTTAGCATAGCTAAATATCTTTTCATACGATATGTTTAATCGTACTTGATAATTATGATTTTAAACTCAGTTTTCGCAGTAATGCTCCGTTTGAATCGTAAGTAACATTACATTGGCGTAGATCAGGCGGGATATTGGGAGCATTACTACTAAGTCTGGCTGCTACTTCCTGTTCTTTTTTCTTTTTCCTAATCGAGGGCTCATTGGATTTTTTGTGGAGCTAACGGTCATTTCCAATAAGGGCACAGATAACTCGTAAAGGCAACCTAATTTGTGTTGAAGTGCCCGTAGATTCTAGGACGAATACTGAAGGTTCGCACGTGGGTTAAATTGCTTAGGGGTTATATCTGTTTCACAAGCTATAGCACAACACAATAAAAACTGAACAGTTCAGGTTCCACAGTGTCTGCAGATATGCCACAATAGTTGTTGCGCGCTGTGTGACAGATCGCTATCCAAACAACAATCATATGTTGTCAGGGTACTTTGTCTCAGTCGGTTCTTGTTCCGAACTGTTTCGGCATCTGGGTCAGTTGTGAGGCCACATACGTATGTCGCTACGTAGCACACGCACATCAACACCACAAATCGGCGAAGTAGTTAGGCAACGACATGCGAGCTGTCGATCGCACGCTGGTAGAGGCAGAGCGCACTTGCGACACTGGTGGATATATGTGCGATGCAAGCGCTTCTTGAACGATTACGGCAGTAGTGGTAAATGCGATAGATTCGCCTGTGACTGCCTTATACAGCTACGGATAGGAGCAGTCTTGGGTTAGATAGCCCTTACGTTGGGCTTCTAGAAAAGGCCACAATTCATTGTGTACGTTACAGCAGGGAAAACGCAAAACATACCAATTGACGCTTCACGGATTATTAAATCCGTGTTGCTTAGATTTGAGATGTGGACACCATTGGTAGGAGCTCGTCGGGCCTGATCAAATAAGTTTATGCTGGCGAGGTTACGATAAAAAATGAGAACACATTAACAGGTTACAGGAGCGTTAAAGTAGTCCGACCACACGCAACTACATGTGGTTGCTACATCTATGTGCAGATGCTTGTCCCTTCCTCGCAAGCACTAGCTCCCGATACGGCACCTGCAGCACTGTAGGATGGCGCCACCGCCCTCAGACCTGTCTTGGACGCAAATCGACCACATCGCCGTCGGTTACCGTTAGAAAGGTTGCGTCAAAATTGCCGATCTATTCGGAGCCCAAGCGTGAACTCCAATCACACACTTTAGCATGCTGATCTACGGTTGTGCTTAGACGGACGCCCGCAACGACGCTATGAGCGCATAGACAGTTGCTAACCCGCGAAGCCGGGTGTTCTGAATGCCGTGACACCCGATGTGCGTAAGCGCACATTAAACACGGTTGACGGTCACTGGTCCAGTGTTTACGTCATTCGCAGTAACTATGATTGGTAACTTTGAAATTGGGTCTCTGCGCGGTCTTGAACTTCTGGATACCCGGCGAAATATTCCTGCTGAAAGAAAACATAATGAGACTCACAAATATCTCGAGGCAAAACTGCCTTGTAGTCTGGTGGTAAGCCACGAAACCTGGTGGTCTTGTCGTGTGTCATAGATCTAAGCATTGGCTGTCTCTGGTGACCATCGGAAGTTATTCCGTCAGATACGGCAAACAGGCGACATGAGACCCGGTGTCAAAGAGATGAGATTGGGTAGCCTATCTACAACCCGTCAAAATGCTTGGGGCGTTGATCTGAACACTGGAAAGCCGTGAATGCTAAATTCGCTATCGACCGGTCCTTGCTCTACTCTGTGCTGTCCCTTTGGATGCACTCTCTTACTCAGAATTCGAACGTTATATAGTATCCTTAAAGTTGAATAATGGTGCGGGGCTAGACAATCTTTTAGCTGTGTTCAAGTTCGCGGGACCTGCTCTTTTGGATGTTTTACACGACTGTAGCTGTAGTGTTGTTACCATCGATCCTCAAGAAGGACTCCTTTTAAAATGCGGCATACATAACGATATAAGTCTGCTTTCTTTCGCAGCCAAGTTAATCGCTTCTCTCATCCTTTACCTATTGGCTGGCACCTGTGAAGGCCAGATTCGTGGAGCGCAAACCAGGTTACTTTAAAATCGAGGATACATTGAACGTCAGTGATAGTCAGTTATCACTCCCTTGGATTTGCCATGTCGCGCAGAAGTAGAACCTAGGATCAGACTGTTGCGAGGGAACATGACAGATCATGTGGACCTCTTCCTGGCTCTTGCGGACTATCTGCATAATCTGTTAGTGAAGTTGTGTGTGGTGGACACTGTCCCAATCAAGTGGTACTGTAACGTTTCAGTCCCTATTTTCAAGAAAGATTTGCGTTCGAATTGCATCTTTCCCTCATTATAGATTGTGTGCTACATGTGAAAAGCAGCTGTGTGACGAACATTTCAGGTTTCGTCGAAATCGAGGATGCATCGGTCACACCTCGTCTTTGCGCGTTATTGAAGCACGGCTAAATTTGTTTGCGATCCACTGTAATAATGATCCTCGACATCAAAGGTAGTTTGATCAGGAAATGTGATCCTGATAATTACTTATACATTGTCAAAGTACTTTATAATCGTGGTTCGGGCAGACTGATCGATTAGGGCTAGCTATCGCCTTCCTTCACTATACCAAGCGATGTGAAACAAGGATTTTGCTATCACTTTTCCCGGTTAACTTTGCTATTGACCAAGTTATGAAATAGCTTTCACATGGCACGACTTAGAAGGTGTAGTTGCTTCCAGATAAACGAAGGCCTAGGTTGAATTATGTCGACGATATTGCCCAACTCTGCGACAGCTCCTAATTTTGCCAAGCCGTGTTGGATGGCTGTCAATAGTTCTTGACTGTGATTTTTGCCTTACAAATACTAAATCTCCGGCAATGCACTGATAATCTCTGATGCTGACTTGTGGGAAGAGTCAAATACAGGTCGGTCAGAAATTCAACTACTTGAGCACTTATATCAGCACTTTTTGAATGGAACTCGAAATAACAAACTGAATAGCTAAAGCTCGAGGTGTTTCCATTCATTTGCTCCACTTCTGGCGCCGGTGCGACATCGCTCTCGCCTCGATGGGCACAAAGCACAATGTAGCCGGTCGTTCAACCTTACTGTACGCTTATGCAGCTTAGCTCATCACATCGACAGACATAAAGAGACATGTTGCGTTTGACCGTCTGTGTCTTCGCAGTCTACCCAATATGTGACGGGAGCACCACGTACGAAATGATCGTGCTCGGTACCACTTTTGCGCGGGAAGAGGAAGTGTACCGCCCTGCACCGTTATTTCACTCAACGGGCTCCATTGCTTGGGCTATATGTTGTGCATGCCAACACTTCCTCAATGAGCGCTTTTTGCACGACCGGGGTCTGAATGGACCGGAAGTATAGAGGGCTTGCCGATGACCTTGTGAATACTAACGAAAACTTCCTCGTTAAATTCAGCCTCGCTTTGCTCTTTCCGGTTCTTGACTTGGATCCCGGAAGACTATAAACGCGTTTGATTCACGACAATTGTTGACGTGACAAGGACCTGACCTCATTGGCGTTTGTATTGTTCCTCTCTTTTAACATGTTCTCACTATCGATACACACTTGCAACCTTTTTATATTACTTTTCTGATGTATATTTTGTGATCTTATTGCCTTGCCTCTTACGGATATCTTTGCATTCTATGACAGTGAAGTAGCAGATGTTTCTCATCCCTAGCTGGTGTGTATAATGGTGAATGATGACGGCTGAGACGTCCATTGGATGAACGACCTTTCCTTTGTTCTGGAGTGTCATTTTGAGCATGCGTTCCGACTGTGCAGGCTTTAAGCAGTTTAGCCTTAATTCTTTTCGCACATTGGCTTTCAGTTAACTACTAAATGTAGCTATGTTCCACCGCATTGTCTGTCAGTGCTCCTTTTTGATGGATGATCTTCTTTGTCATACCTTCCGTTTGGTCGTTGCACCGACTTTGGTAAAACTGCGAAAAGTCCTGTCAATGGCTTGTCATATATGTATGCACAAATCGACTGATACTTTATCAGTCTGTAAGTGTGGATGGGGACTTCGGGATCTGCCGCAGTTTTGATGAGGACAATGCCGAACACGGCGCAATCACGGATTCTGTGACTCACCTGCATTCGTTTTCTTACGCCTGACTGTCAACATTCCATTCCTATTACTTCCACTTCCTTTCTTTTTGTATCGTACTTGCGTACTGTCTCATTTTCCCATCAGTCTTATTGTTATCCGGATGATATGAGTCGTAGTAGCTGGGGATTCACCGCACTTCGACGTTCGGATCTCAATCTCTCAGCTGAACCGAACTGAAGTCATTTGGTTGTCTTCCTATCACTTTCAGGAACGCGGAGCAGGTGATTCTGCTGAGGCCGTGCGTTGTCGAGAAGCTGCGGCGAAACACACAACTACGTTCATTAACGAAGCCCTAACTCCCTATTTCGGGAGTTTGATCTCTTTCGTACGTGATTTCGAAAGTCAACAAACGCCTAACTCTGTCCTTCAAGTAGGAAACGAACCGGAAACGTCAGCAATCGCACGAAATGAAGAAGGTGAGTCCTGTTAGTGAACTTTCAAACTTGGCTACCTGTTACTAAACTGTATCTGATTCTAAATATCTTTTTACTCTTATTAGAATACTTATTTATGTTGTTCTTTCCGGTTTATTTTTAATAAAATTGACAATACTATTACGTTATGAAAAAATCTTTCCACACATACCTATTTAAGCAAGCACTTTTATTTCTTTTCATCCGTGATACTTATTCCAAGTCCCGAGTAATCACCTTGCAACAGTGTTTCTGCAATTGTTCTTTACCTTTGCAACTTGCAGACCTTATCTGCCATGCTTGAATGAAGTCTAAGTATATATAATAGGTTTAGGTGCTTTTTTGTCCAACAACGATGTCAGATTTCTTGCCTTGACACAGTCTCACATCTGCCATCTGTCTCAGTCATCTGGGATTTTATCGGATTGTTTCATTCACCTCGAGTCCGTTGGTTGCTGGGACATTGAGTTCTGCTTACGGGGAATAGGACGTTGCAGCACTATATGCGACTCATCTTTGAGATCGATTCACTCCCAACGTGTTTATCAATTTTACCGCATTCACCACTTGCTTTTAGTTCTATATCTGTACTGCAAAATACAATACTACAAAAAATACAAATAAAAATATCAAATACAAAAATGCAATGCTACAAAATAACAGTTGCCATTTTTCGTTAGTTGAAGTACCAGGTGGCTGACCTCGCGCCACTAGTCCCACTGCATTCGACTGTGAATGGCGATTGTGAAGCATGCCGGTAACTTCGACTTGTGCAGGCACCGTGTAACCCTACAGCTATTCACTGTGTGAATTTTGGTGTACCGGCAGTGTCAGTGTGTAACACGTATTGCCTTGAGATAAATCCCAGTCATTTAGCATTCACTGTCCATTTAGTCTGGCATCTTTGTTACAACGTTTCGTCACCATTCAAGGTGACATCATCAGTGCGTTGTAAAGCAGCGCTCTATTGGAGTTACGATCGAGGCAAATTTGCCAAACTCATCGAACGGTTCGAGGACCGGGTCTGCAACCTGAACTACTAGCATTCGCTGGTTCGTGGTTCCGGTCGTTGGGAGTGGGATTTCCGTTACTTTCAAACACTACTTGTTTGAACCCTTCAGGTAGACATTGCTGAAGCTGCCAATGGAATCTGAGACGTCCTTTTCCAGTGGTTGCCTTACTATTATGCCACAGAGTTTCGGGAATATCCTTTTTCATATCTGTTAAGAATCAGCATTTTCGTTTAGTAATCCTTGCCCTTCGTTTGGATCGGGACACATTCGCATTTTCGGTAGTGAATTATTACTAAGTTGACCTCGGCTATTATGACCACTAAACTCGCATCTGAAGTGTCCTTTCTTGCTCGCTCTGTACACTACCCTTAATGCCGGTTCCGTCCTTGTTGGGGCTCTTTAGGTGGATATAGCTGGAGTCAGGAGTGAAAACCTTGACGTAATTTCGACTCTTTGATTAAACCACTGAGCACAGCGACTTTGAATCCATTGCTTGACTCTGTTGTGCTCCGCTTAATTCAGTCTACTGAATCCAAACAACGTCGAAACTAGTGGTGCAGTATTTAGAGTAAACAGCACTGATTCCTTGCAAAGCACTCCCTACAATTGCATTTTTCTTTGACATTTTCTGTAACGCTTTCTTCTCTAATGTTCGTCGTGCTAACAACTGAAACTTTTCTACTTATTCGTTGCCACCACTTTCGATGTAACTGTAATCGTCTCGAAGGCTGAATTGTAAGTCGTTTCTCTTCACTCTAATAGCCGAAATCATGAAACCGTACAGTTGCCGGTTTGAGCCCCTCTTGTAAAGATGGAGTTCCGTTTAAATATCGAAAACAGCGCTTGTTACCTTTTCCACCAATTGTTAGGCCTTAATTGAACCACCGCTTGGCCAACCAGGTCTGGGTTGTAAGCGACTATTCGCTTAGGGACTCTAGCCATGCGGACCGCTGGAAATGCACCAAAACAAGACCAGAGCTGATCTACCGTACTATTTAACACTTATACTGTAACAAACAATACAGACACCAACAACTTCCAAAGGAAATGGTAAACGGAGCACCCGCATGACCAGCGCTTCAGTTGCAAATCGCAATTGGACGCCGCCGCAAAGTCAGCACATCACACAGAACCGTGCACTGGCGCCAGTTATGCCGAATGAACATGCAAGTAGAAATACATTTGAGGCGCACAACCGACTGGGACATGGTGAATCCATACACAGCCAGATGCAAATCGTCTAACATCACGTGAAAGCAGGAGGTGTAGATGGTTACATGAAATGTCTGACATTGGGAACTCACTAACGTGGCTTGTGTGGACAAGACTGATGAAAGTCAGTCGGTGACGGGAGGCAGTGCTGACGACGCTTGCCGGTCACAGTAAGCACTGGTGAATGTAGTGTGTGCTACAATCTTCGCCGAAATTCGATCCGGCTTTTCCTAAGTTTGATACTAAATTCTGTTCTGGATTGCCATATGCCGGCTCCACACACTATGGTAGCCAACAGGACTTACAGCGGTACGCTTAAATCCACCCACTTCGGTCAGTTAGTATCGCATTCGTTCTCCCTGAAGCGGCAGAACCGAAGACCCACTTCCCACCTATGGAAAACCAGTAGCCAGAACTGCGTCATCACGCGTGTCGCCTCCTTCGATTATGCAGCACTTCCACACATTTCTTCTAAATATTACATCCTTTATTCTGGCAACTACTGTCCTGATGCTCCCGTTTCCAGAGATTACACGACGTCTATCCTCCCATTTGTCACTTACCACGCTAGGTGGTTTCCGAAGTACTCATAGCCACATCACCGGGTCTGAAATTTCGGCATTATTGCAGCCACTTTTATATCGATTGGGACGGCCAAAATTACTTTCTAAACCACCTTTTCCAAAGCAAAGTAGTCAGCTGTTTTACTTGTTTTCGTGCAAGGATGCGACGCGTTAGGCCGCAGTATCAGCAAATCATTAGAGTTGGTTGGTCGTTTGTGTCAGAGTTCATAGGCACAAGTAGTCTACTATTGATGGTACACTGCGCACCGACAAAGTGCCAAAAGCCTCATCATTCCATGTCTGTTGCACCGCTACTGATAACAAAACCCGCCTAACGGTTTTAACAATACGTTCCCAAATACCACCCCTATGACTCGATATCGGTGGGTTGTGCTGCCACTGCGTTCCTGTTATAACGCGTGCTAGTTGTTTCGACTCCTAGTTTGAACGGCCGAGCGTTCTTCGAGATAATACCCCATGCGTGCAGGGTAGCTAATCGAATTCCGATCGCCGTGAATCACCGCTAGACGTACACGCGAGCTGAGATTGGAGACGAAAAACGCGTAACCAAGCACGACTGCACTGTGACCCGAACGAGAAAGGAAGACTGGCCGTTAGCAAGGGTACTTTTACTGACTCATCCAAAGCGAAGCATGTCTTCGACATCTTCATGTTTATAGCAGTGTAGTGCATAAACTATAAAAGTAGATTTTGGCACGCCATGTGAGTCTTCACCCAGTTTGTAGCGTCCTGAAGGATACACAGTTAGTGTCGATGTGAGTTTGTGCGGTAACTGTCGCAGTAACCAAGGAGCTCGGGTGATTGGCTGCGGTTTGACACAGTAGCTACCTTAGTGTCATGTAAAGAGTTCAGTACGTTCACTGCAGCTTACACAGTAGATGCATCATTGGTCTGATTGCGCTCAGTTGGTTCACTGTAGTTTAGTATCACTGTCCTAGGGACAGCTCGGCTGTTACTAGCGCGATCAGCGTCGCTGCATGTGATTATATGTATGGGGTGAGCCCGACGAACTCTGCACAAGTTTCGCGGAGCTATGCGTGCTCCGTAACAGTTCCTAAACTCATTTATTGCTACACTCATTGATCTTGGCTTGGGACCAGCTGTTCATAGCGAAAAATAACTCAGCTGCGGTGTCCACAAAGTAGTCTCCATTATGACTGAATATTTCGGCCGGATTCCTTTTGCAGGAAATAGATCGCACCGGGGCCATGGTGAAGGACTCAGTGTCGATGTGAGAAATCTCGATATGCACGACTCACACTTGCAGATGTATAAACAAGCATCTACATCGATGGCTCTGTTTATTGCATAGACACTGTCACTGTAGCTTCCGTACAACAACCACAGGACGCCTGCGCTTACAGAATCACCATGGATGGCTTGCGATGCACCATCCATAGCTCTATTCACACAGCACATACCCATTATAAAGCAGAAAGAATAATACTGGGAGGCATGTGGATGGGAGCCGTTTCCACAACGGAACCTGCCCACACTCCTTCAACATGCACTGCAGCAACATCCCTGTCTATCGATGTATGGAATCATGGGTACCAGATGCACACAGAGCGGTGGCTGGGCCGTAGTCCGCTCTACACTTGATGGAACCACTCTTTGGACCTACCATGGCCACGCGGACCCTGCACCTCGTCCCATCAGCAGCGTTTCACAGTATCATGGAGCCAGTAATCGAGGTGCGTGGTGTTAAACTGTTAGGCAGGTGTTGATTTATCCAAACCGCGGTGCAAAAGGCATGAATGTAATATATATATATATATATATATATATATATATATATATATATATATATATATGTATATATATATATCCTGTTCACTTTAAATTGGACATTTTGCAAATCATTTTGGACATATTGGATTTTAAGCAGAAAATCAGCAATTCGCTTGCAAGAAATGAGGAGTAAGGTGACTTGACGATGTTCAGACTACATTGTAGACTGAGTATCTCCCTATCTCCCCATCTGTCTTCTCGTAGTTTATGTGCTTCGGACTACACATGGACCTGTGTAGTTATGTGACTATTAGAAAGTCAGACTCCCCAATCGCGTAGTCTATTATGACTTAAACAAACGTAACCTAGCACTGGAGGGTCTTTATGAAGCACACGTTTTGAGAATGCACTACGACACGCCATCTCAATGTGGATCGCGATTCCAACTGAATTAAACTTCGAC